CTCAGCCCTTAGCCTCTGGGATCTGTACTAACTCTGGAAGGCATCAGAATTGAATTAAATTATAGTACACACACTTGGTATTAGAAAAAGACATTAAAATATTTAACAACCAATTATCCAGAGTAGGGGTGGGAGAAAGGCGTGATTTGTAGCATCTGTCTATTTCTGTGGTATCAATATTCCCATCAGACCCAATATCAACCTACCAGCAATTAGTTGGCTCTCAGCAAGAAAGAAATCTTATTTCTGCACAGAGTATCATGAGAAGATCTCTATCCCTGGTACTGTTTCCAAAGGCCATACTAGCTAATACGTTTTTATGTTGGGCCTCTTCTGCCTTAAACTTATAGTGCAGGGCCCATTATTAAATCAATCTTAGAACTCAGGGGAAATGTGCTTTAATGAAACCCTAAGGTGTCACAGGTGGCTTACCAATTATTCACACCTGTGCTTTCCCATACTTAATGGGACCAGGAGATGAGGCAGAGATAAGGATCCCTTCAGTGAAGAATGGAGAGGGTGACCTGCTTCTACTTAGGGCCCCTTTCCTCACCCCATTGCCCAAGACTAAAGAATGCAGCACAGGAAACAACCAGTCCAGAAATGAGATCCTCCCTGTTCTCTTTGGAGCTGTTATTTACTTCTTGGACTTATAGTAAAGGTAGGGGAAGCTTTGGACAAACACTACCTCTTCTTGGACAGCCCCCCTACTACGATAGTTAAGAATGCAGATTCTAAGGCTAGACTGCTTGGGTCAGGAGCATACAGACAGCTTTACTGAGCTTTCTGAACCCCACTTTCCTCATCTGTGAGATGAAGAGTCAGCATAGTATCTTGTGAGTATTAGCCTTATTATTATTATTATTATTAACTATTATTGAAATCAAATTGCCTTCCTCCACTCCTGGTTATATTTAGCAAAACTAAGTAACTGAAGAAGAAAAACCCAAACAACTATAATCAGGAGGCCCTTAAGTCTAACACTGACTCTCCAGCTGGATGGATTCTGTGGTGTGACCTTACCAGCCCTAGCCACTAAGAAGATGGACATGACCCACCATCCCTGATGAAGGGGCAGGTATGTGGAGGCACCATTGACAGAGGCCATCTCTGCAGCCTGCAGTCTGCTGCAGCTTATGCAATGCTCCACCCAGCATCCTTTCTCCTCAAATTAGGTCCAATTTCCTTGTTCTGGCCTCCAGGGAGACAGGGAACAGCTGTCCTACCTCTATAAAATAACTCTTCCAGGTCTGGATAACTATTATTAAACATCCCCCTTCACACTTCCCTTGCTCTATTATAAGATACATTAAAGGCCCTTGCTAATAGTTTGAGGTCTCCGTGAGATGGTTGCTGTTCACCCTAATTCCTCTAATAATTAGTGGTTGTAAACCACTTTGAAGATAAAAGGCATTTTATAAAAGCTAAGTCCCATTATGATTAGCTTTCCAATACTTCTTACTGATGCTGATGAGCACATCAAAGCCAGACACAGTCACAGCATGATATCTGGTGGTTAATTAGATGTATTTCAAGGCAGCTGGTATATATTAAAGAAACTGCTGCAAAATTTATCAACATTAAGAAAGTGTCCACTTTCTTCCTAATATGAACAAGCTCTTTTCAAAGGCTGTCAGCGGTGATGCCTGCAAGACAGGAGTCCGGAGAGACCCAGTGCTAATACATGCTCTGGGCCTGGAAGAGAAAGGCCCAGTAACAGCACCTGACTTTGAACATCTTATCCTTGTTGACAAGGCATGTACCATGCCTTGCTTTGTTTTGTTTTTGCAATTGTGCTGTGATATAAGCAAGTAAAGTAACACAATCCCTGCTTTATGGATGAACAAGCTGCATAAGGTCATGGATTTTCAAGACATTGACATCAGTGTGGTGTAGCAGAACACAGTTAAGGCTCAGACCTATTATCAAGGTGACATTATTGATGTTCCTTTCAAATGCTCTCAAATATTTGTGCATCCTCCCCCTGCGTCTGTGTGGTTTTGCTTCTCATTCCCGGCACCTTCGACTCTTAGAAGGTGGACCCTTAAGCTATTGAAGCCACTTTGTCCAAAGGGACAGAGCAAGAAGTACCCAGAAGCTCCTTGACCCTTCCAAATAGCTCTTAGCCAATGACCTAATTGCCTCTCAAAAGCCCCATTTCATAATACTATCCAACTTGGAACAAAAAGCCCAGTACCCCTGTCCTCAGTGGGGACAAAGTCTGAGTTGTTTTTTTACACTCTAGAATACTTTGTAGGACAAGACAAAGGCTGGAACTTTCTGAAACTTTGCCTGAGCTCTCACTCTGTCTGACTTCTTCATCCTCCCTTACAGAGTTCTCATGGGAACTTTTCCTCCTTAAACCACCTCTCTGAGTCAATGTCTGGAAACCCATCCTAAGACAACTCTCTTGACTCCGCATTAATGAGAACATTTTGGATATTTTATATGGAATATATTCTTACAGATTCCCTTAGGTACAAATCTTCCTTTCCAGCTCTCCATACACACACACACACACACACACACACAAGTGTGTGTGTGTGTGTGTGTGTTTTCTGTGTCTGCCCTATGCCTTCAACTCTTAGCTCTGTAAGCAGGATGTTCCAACTGCTTCTGGAAAAATGAATTATTATACTCTGCCCAGCCACGTGAAAGGCACTGAACCAGGGAGGGCCAAGGAAGAGACATGTTTAAGACTTTCATTTCTTTGGTGAACTTACTTATCAGAGGGACATGATTAGAGCCATGTGTGCACACAATGAAAACTACAAGAGCAAATGATTCTTGGAGTGGTACCCCCAAATGAAGCCACTTTCTAATGATTCTCCATACCATTCAATTATGGCTCATTTACTTAAATGTTTGAATCTGAAGCTACTCTTGAATATTTAAGAAAATGAAGGTCAAGATAATCCAAATGAGTAGATAATTCAAAAAAAGGAGTTTTAAAATTTAAATCTAGTTTGCATTACTATTATTATTATTGTTGTTGTTGTTGTTATTAATTTTTATAGTATCACTTTAGGAAGCTGCCTAAGAAAGTTAAGAAATCTGCCCTACAAAAATAGCTAATTAGTAATAGAGTACGAATTCAATTTTAATTTGCCTGACTCTTTAAATTTTGTTTCTTCATTGGTCACATGGGGCTAATAATAAGTCTTACCTTGCAGAATCTTTGTGAGGATTAAACAAAAATAATGTGTATAGCCTACCAAAATACCTGTTACAATAAGCACTACAGAGTAATTGGCATTATTAGTCCCAAGTGGAATACCATTGATCCCCAGGGTATCCCTATAATTTGGATGTGGCTTGTGCCCCAAAGGTTCATATGCTGGAAGCTTGGTCTCCAAAGCAACAGCATTGAGAGGTGGTGGGTCCTTCAAGCAGTGGGACCTAGTGGGGGGTGAAGGGATGAACACTGGCCCCTTGGGATGGTTTGGGTCTCACAGAGTAGACTAGCTGCTCCCAGAGCAGGTTTCAATAAAAAATGGAGCCTGGCCCCTCCCTCTTGTTTCCTCTCCCACCATGTGACCTCTGTGGGTCCCACATATTCGTGTCATGGGATGCTATCAGCCACGAAGCCCTCACCAGAAACTGATGCTTGTACCCTGCTCTTGGACCTCCAGATCTGTGACCAAACCTCTCTCCTCTTTCATTTGTAAAGAAACCAGCCTTGCATATTTTACTTTAGCAATACAAAGCAGACTAAGATAGGCAATTTATATGTATATTTTAAAAGATACATAATACCACACTAATTTCCAGGAAACCATTAAATAAACCCATGAAACACCAAGGAGATCTACCTAAAATGCAGACCTGATTGTTACTTTCAGGATGTATCTTAAACACACAGGCCAACTACTATCTCCTTAGTGCCATCTCCCATCTCCCCTCCCACATTCTCTTCCCTCCAAATTATTTCCTCTTCCCTCCACTCTTTGGTGCCTTGGCATTTTCAAACATATTGCCTACTCATCTGGCATTCCCTGGCCGTCTGTCTGAGCTAAGTCCTACTAAGACTTAATGTCTTAGTCCATTTAAGCTGACATGACATTTAAGCTGTGCCCTGAAGGTTCACATGTTGGAAGCTTGGGTGGCCTTTAAACAACAGAAATGTATTTCTCACAGTTCTGGAGGCTGGAAGTCTGAGGTCAGGTGCCAGCATGGTTCTCATCAGAACCTTTTCCAAATGGCCGGCTGCTGATACCTCACAGGGTCCTCACATGGTAGAGGGGGGCTTGGGAGTTTTCCTAGTTCTCTTTTATGAAGGTAAAAATCTAATTTATGAAGGTAGTTCTCATGACCTAATTGCCTCTCAAAAGCCCCATTTCATAATACTATCCAACTTGGGGGTTAGGTTTCAATGTATGCATTTTAGAGGATACCATTATGATTCAGTCCATATAGCACTCTGCCCCAGGTACCCCCAAATTCAAGCCCTTCTCACATGCAAAATACATTCATTCTAACCCAGCAGCCTCAAAGGTCTTAATTTGTTCCAGCATCCACTCAGTCTGATGAATTCAAGTTCTCAAATCTAAGAACTCACTGTCTGAGCTCACAAACAGAGTGGCCTGCATAGCCACAGGTTCTGCATCAGCAGCCCGAACAAACCAAGAATGGAAAAATATCTTAAAAATAATAAAAACTGTGTCTGTACTGAACCCATTATTCCCTAAATAATATAGCATAACCATTATTTACATATCATTTGCATTGTTTTAGGCATTATAAGTTCTCTGGATGTGATTTAAAGTATACATGAGGATGTGAGTAGGTTACAGGAAAATACTATGCCATTTTTATATAAGCAACTTGAGTATCTGCAGATTTTGCTATCTGCAGGGGTCCTAGAACCACTCCCTTCTGATGCTGAGGGACAACAGTTATTTAAAGCAGCAAGAATGGCAGAATGTAGGGCCTGGAATTGCGAGGCCTTTGGAGGCAGATCAAACATGCTGCAGACTGTCTATCTCTCCTTCCTCACTCACCTGTGGCTCCCTGCTCTCTGAGAACTGGTAATCTCTTCACTTCTGGAAGGCGCTTTTGCTACTGGTGATTTGAACTCCACCTAGGAAACACAGAAGAGATGAATCACATCTTGTTTTCCACTGGGGACCATGGTGCAAGGGGCTCCCTGGAAATTTGGGGGAAACTGGTGAGAAACATCCCTCCTAGCAGGGTTGCAATGTCCCAGAAGAAAAAGGCCTTGTCCCTTCCTCTTCCAGGCTTTGAAGAGAAAAAAAAGAAGGCTCAGGTGTAGCACTGGTAAGTCTGCTTAGCAACCCCAAATCTGGAGCCTGTGTCTAGGCTGATGAGGTCAGAGCCTTGTGCAGGAGAAGTAAGTAGACTAGGGACAAACTGATCACCCCTTCCCAGGAGCACCACCTCTCAGCAAGTTTTCTTTTTCTTGCATCCAATCCATAGATGCTGTTTGCACTGCTGAAGTTTTGAAGACAGAGAGTAGAATTGTGGCCAGACTCACTTCCAAAAGAAAGAAATGCAGTGGGGTTATGAGAAAGTCTAAAGGACCCACAAAGAGAGCAAGCTAAAAGTGATTGCTATGATTTAGTTGTGGTTTGTCCCGAAAGGGTTCATGTTTTGGAAACTTGGTCCCCAGTGTGGAGATATTGAGAAGTGGTGGAACCTTAAGAGGTGGAGTCCATTGGGAAGTCACTGGGGATGCTGCCTTCAAAAATAATTTATTCTTGTGGTACCCTGAGTTGGTTCTCACAAGAGCAAGTTGTTATAAAATCTGGAGCCTGACCCTAAATCACTCTGGTTTCTGTCTTGCCATGTGATTTCTTATTTTCACATGTTCTCCCTCCATGATGCCATCTCTCTCAATGTGACCTAGCCAGGGGAACCTTGCCAGAGCCAATAGCATGCTGTTTGGACTTTCAGCCTCCAATTGGTGAGCTTAATAAACTTCTTTTTTTATAAAGTACCCAGCACCACGTATTGTATTATAATAACAGAAATAGACTAATACAGCATCAGAAGAGGAACAGGCTTTGGCTCAGGGAGAAGACAAACCTTCTTGACTAGAGCAATTTGAAGGTTTTAAGACTGAACTAGGAAAGGAACTTTGCAGAATGCTTTGCCTCATGATCTAGAGGCATGTTTGAAAAGACTGGAGATAGCAATAGTGATTGCAAAGGACATTAGAATTATCTATCCCATTGTATGCTAAGGCCAAAGTTCAACCCACACTAGATCTGACAGACCAAATATATATATTACCATTGAATACAGCCTTGGTGGAGCTCATGTACACAATCCATCTGAGGAATATTCTTCAAGTACTTCTCATTCTATATGAGGTAACAGAGTGCTTGAGTGTTCTTTTGTTTATTCAATGAATATTTACAAGGTGCAGACCCTCCTTTGGGTATCAAAGGATTAGTAATAGGCAAGTTTAGCAAATGTTGTCTTCATGGAGCTTACATCATAGGAGAGAGACAGGCAATAAACACCAGACACTATCAGATAGTGAAATGTACTTGCAGAAGATAACCCCTTCTTTAAGCCCCCTGGGGTACCCACTCCAGTCCCCCGACCCACTGGCATTGCTACTAGGATGCTGCAGCAGCCACAGAGGGGAGGCTCCACCCTCTAGTTGTTTCCCAGGCAGGAGCCCACAGCAAAGCCAGGGGAGTAGAAGGACAGGAAGAGATTGCTGCCCTGTCCTGCCCATAGCTGCCAACTCCTGGGATCTTATTTAGAAAAAAAAAAAAAAAACTATTTGGCCAAACATACGATGTTAATAGTATTATTTCTAGATGGTAATCCTAAGAAATTATTTTTATTTTCTTCTGAATCTTCTAACTTTTTTATTATTACAATTTATTGTGTTTGCCATAAGGAGAGAAAAACATTTTTCAATGATTGGTATACCCTAACTAAATTAAGAAGAAATACATTTGAACAAGTAGGCAGGGAGCAGATCTTGGGGTGATGAATAACATTTCACTATGCCATTTTAAGGTTTATGAAGTAATTTCACAAACACATTTCCTTCAACTTGCAAGACTTTCTCAAGGTCACATAGAAAATAAACCTTAGCACAGGAAAATGATCTGCAGGTCCCAGATTCCTAGGCCATTATGTTTTCCATTACTGCACAGCCCGTCTGTAGCTGACCTTACTTTTCTTCACAGATGAAGCCCCGAGAAAGCTGCTGAGCACCCTAGGTCCTAACTCTCCTCCTTCCAACCATGCCCTCTCCTCCAGAAGCCAAACTGATTCATACAGAACTAGTTTGTACTAAGCACCTGCCAGGCACTGTTCTGGGTACTTGGAGTAACTGCAATAAAAGAAAGTTACGAGGTATTATGCAAGTGACCAGCATCAAAGGAGGCTGACTGGATGGGGGCACAACCCCCTCACTTGGTCCAGCCATGTATTGTCACTGATTGAACCAAGACAGGTCAGACAGATACTCTAAAATGAAGACTAACTAACTACCAAAAGCCTGCCTGATTCTTAAAGGTAGTCTATTTTAGATGGAAAGATATACAAAGCCAAATGAAAAGTTAATTAAAGACATGGCATACACTTGCAATCATGAAACAGCCCCCTTATCCTCTCTCTGGAACTTAGTGGGGCTTACCAACCAGATCATTAGAGAGGTCCCGAGTCCACACATCATGGTCTCTGGGAGAGGTCACAGGAGGCTGGGAATGGAAAGAAAGGGCACAACCAGACAGAAAGTATGTCGCTAACAATATAAGGCAGAGACACAGCTTTCAATACTACAGGACATTGGGGTGGATGGGATGGGAGAAGGCAGCTGAAATGTCAGGATCCATTTCTGTGAGGGAGGTGAGACTCAGAGTGGGCCTCAGAGACTGAAATGGATTCAGATGGTCTTCATGGTAACCCCATTCAGCAAGACCAGGGAAGGCTTAGCACAGTCTTTGGGCCTCTCTTTCCTGAGGCTGGTGGCTGGATTTCTGGCCCCTCTCCCATCTTGGGTCTTGGTTGGTGGTGAGGGCTGGGGTCCCTCCATCCTGTCTACAGGTTTTTAGGTGTCTCTCTGCCAGGAGTGCTGCTAGAACCCCAAGATTGATGAGGACCCCTGACAGTACTGGGCAAATCAACTAGTGCTGACGATGCCTGGCTGGTTAGTTTGCACACACGCTGGGTTTTTATTGCAGTATTTCTATAAGCAAACCTCAAAAACTTCCAGGTGCTGGAGCCCAGTGGGGACAGAAAATTCAAGGTATTGGAGTTTGCCGGAGCTATCTCTGCAAGCTGGGCTAATGTGAGCTCCCTGGCACATAATCTAATGAACAATAACAACAATAATTATCATACCATGAATGACAGCCAACTTTCATCTACAAAGTCTACAAAGATGTTTGTAATCTATGCCTATCATTTATGAGTTAATGTCTTAGTTCGTAACACACAAACATTATTATATGACTTTCAAAGACTGTACTATCTTATTGTAATAAAAACATGCCAGCTGTTATAGATCCTGGCTGACAGCTGTTGGAGGGCTGGGTCTGGAGATGCTACATGTCTCATATATAGCCTTCCATGTGACAGTCATCCTCAATGGCACTTTAGTCTCCAAAGCATTCCCACTTGGTACAGAGACTTTTGAAAGGCCAATGAGAGCCTTAGATGAAGACTCAGGAGCTTGGGCTCAGTTCCCATGTTGCCATGGATGGACCTAAGTCTGTGTTTTCTCTCTGTTAAGAACAAATGGGGGAACGTGAAAGGAATGGAGGAACTTTCGATAGGGCAATGGGGAGGGAGGGGAATGGAGGGGGCATGGGGGTAGGAAAGACAGTGGAATGAGTTAGACATCATTACCCTAAGAACATGTATGAAGACATGAATGATGTGAAAATGTATACAACCAGTGACTTGAAAAATTGTTGCTCTATATGTGTAATATGAAATGAATTGCATTCTGCCATCACATATAACAGATTAGAATAAATAAATAATTTAATTAAATTTTAAAAAAGAACAAAATACTTTGGATTTAGATGGCTCTGGGTTCAAGCTTTCACTCACTACCTGTGTGAGCCTCACCAAGTAATCAAACTTCGAGCCTGTTTCCTCCTTAAACATGGATAATAACAGCACGTCTTTGTAAAAGTCACTGTGAAGATAACAAGATTCACAGCTCAAGATGGGCTTAGTGCATAGTGGGGTCCATACTAAGTGCTAACTATGTGCTAATAATGTTATTGTTTCTGTTAGAGGACAAGGCACAGTGCACCTACAGCCTAGGTCAGAATCTGTGGCATAGAATCCTCCCTCTTTTGGCATGAAATCAGCAAGCTTTAGCAGGGTGGGGCTGAGGCCCCAGGAGAGGGCACCTGTGTGGGGAAGGCAGGCCTCTCCCTTGAGCAGCAGGGTTTGTAGCGAAGCGCTTCCTGCATCTGGTACAGATGGCATTGGCCTGATCCTCATCCCTAGAATTTCATTGTGCAATGCAGTAGTCACAAGCCACATGAGGCTATTGAGCATTTGACATGGGGCCAGTCCAAATTGTTATGCAAGAGTAAAATACATCCCAGGTCTCAAAGTCTGAGTTCTAAAGAAAGGAATGTAAAAATCTCAAATCATTTTTAATGATAAAAAATTATCATGCCAAAATGATGATATGTTGGGTATACTGGGTTAAATTACATGTTGTTAAGATTAATTTCAACTCACTTTTTTACTTTCTTCATCTGGCTATTAGGACACTGAAAGCTGGACATGTGGCTCAGGTCGCATTTCCATTGCACAGTGCTGGTTGGGACTGTGAGCTCCATGAAGGCAGAGACTTTGTTCAGATCCCTGCTGTCACCCCAGCACCTGGAATGATTTCTGAATGAAGGGGTGATCCAGTGAGTGTGTGAGGCCCAGGGACAAGCTTATAAGAAGCCAGGGGTCACACTTGAGCAGATGGGGACAACTCCTGGGCCGTTTGATTATGTAAAGATGAGGAAACAGGCTATAAAGATAATAAGAACTTGTCCCTGGTCAGAATTTAAATTGAACACATCTTAACCTATGCTCTTGCTACTGAATCCCGTTACCTCCCATAGTCACTGTAGAGTTACAGAAAGAAAACTATATTTAGAATTAAAAAAAAAAAATCACATTCCCTCAGGTTACCCTTTTTGATCTAATCTTGTGTATATCACCCGGCTTTCTTGGGTCTTGGCTTCTTAGGTCCTCATTGGTATCCCATGTAAAAACCACAGTTTCTGTCCATCTCTTTTTAATGATGTAGAGCCGTAGGAAACCCGTCCTAGAAGGTATCTCAAAGGCTGAGCCCTACATCCTTCCTAATTCTCCTTTCCTCTCTCTCTTGCTCCAAAAACTGCTCTCTGACAGAGGTTTCTTTGCATCACACATATAAGTGATTGTTTATCTTAAGAGTTCTCTTTGATTTAACTTGATTTCTGATGTTTTTCATCAGAAGTCAAAACCTTGCAGACTCTTCCCTTGATCCCATAATGAAATTTCCTAAGAGATATTTAGTTCTAGAAACAGCCTGATACCACCCTCCCTTTCAAGAAAAAAAAAATCTAAAATAACAAGCATCCTGCCATATTCAAATAAACATCTCAGGTGGAAAGTGGATCTGTTTCCCTTATATCTGCTTTTAAAGCTCTGTTGCCATCCATACAGATGAATGTCCTACACTGAGGTCCTTAGCATACCACCAGCCTCTCATGTTTCTACACATGTCTTGAAGGGATTCTGATGCTGTGTTAGCATTTTCTTCTATTTATTCCCCCAAATTGTTCTTTCTTGAGTTCTCTGATTTGCTTTCACCTGTGGCTGTTGAGTAAATTCCCCACTGACTTGGTCCCTGACTCCCCACATTGAGATTTTTGGAAAAGAATTCCCAATCCTAACTCAAGAGCCTCTTGAATTTTATGTCTAAGCAAAGAATATGTTGGAGCCCAAACTGACTCCTCGGGGAAGAACATCTCACCCACTGGCCCTAGGTAAAATGTTCGCTCTACTTCTGATCAGGGGATAAGGAAAGATTTGCCAGAATCAACTGTGTCATTGAGGCAGAGCCATTTTTCAACATGCCTGATGCAGGATGCAGATCCCACTTAAGCACTTGCCTGTGACTCGGCGACTTATTGAGTCATTACAAATTTTTGATCCCTTTCTCCAGACTCCTAGCAGAGAGTTGACTGCCCAGCACTTGCTGGTGCTTAAAGAATGTGTGTGAGTCTCCAAAAGCAGCCAGTATGGGGTCAGCAAATCTGCTTCCTCCAAATAATAATCTGCTGAATTCCAAAGCCAAACCAATTCACCCAGTGTCTTGACTCAGAGACAGAAGGACCTCTAGTACAAGATGTTGTGTTTAATAACAGATAAAAAAAGCAAGGGCCACGTTATCCTTGCTCTCAAGTAGCTTACAGTCTGAGATTATTATCTAATGGAGATTAATGACAATTGAGATTATCTAATTGAGATTATTATCTAATTGATAATTAGGTAGAATGAGAAAGGACAATAAGAAGTGGTGTGTGTGTGTGTGTGTATGTGTGGTGAGTGTGTGTGTGTGCATGCACATGTGCACACGTGCAATTGTAAAAAGACTAGGAGAAAATATGGGAGAGGGTTAGCAGTGGTTATCTTTGTTTTTCAGCTTACGGGTGATATTTATTTTCTTCTTTACTGTTAGCTATATTCTCTGGGTTTATTTCACAATAAACATTTATTGCTTTTACAATAAAATTTTGTTTCGAAAAATTGGAACAAATGGTAAAGAACAATGGTTTGGGTGATGGATTAAGACTATGGAGTTAAGAATAGAAATGGAACCACAATATGACCCAGCTATACCTTGGTATTTATCCTAAAGAATTAAAGTCAGCATACTACAGTGATACATGAATACCCATGTTTATAGCAGTACAATTCACAATAGCCCAACTACGGAACCCAGTCTAGGTGTCCATCAAAGGATGAGTGAATAAAGAAAATGTGATATATATTTTTTAGAGTTTTATTCAGTCATAAGGAAGAATGAAATTGTGTCATTTGCAGGAAAATGGATGGAACTTCAGACCATTATGTTAAATAAGATAGCAAAAATCAGAAAGTCAACAGTCATATGCTTTCTCAAACATGTGGGAACTAGAGAGGAAACAGGAACAGAGAGGTGGCTGGGGGATGTCTCATGAAAACTGAAGGGAGATCAATAAAGTAGAGAAAAGGCATCAGGGAAAAAGGAGGGGAGGGAGGGGAAAAATACTGGGGAACGATATTGACCAAATTATATTGTTCTATTGTGTGCATGTATGATTATGTAACAAGGAATCCCACCATTGTGTACAACTATAATGCACCAATAAAAACATGGGAAGTGGGAGTGAAGGGGAGACTGTGGAATTAGGGGTAAGCACATGGGCCTCCAGAGTAGTTAGTAAGAATTGGGCAGTGAAAAGATGAGGAAGAGGATTCCAAGCAAAAGGAACAGTGAGCGATGGCCTCAGGCTACAGGGAGCGGAGGAGGTCAAAATCAAGTCCTGCAGCGTGTATTTGGGGGAATGTGAGCACTGGCCTAAGGACAGAGTGAGGGGTAGGCCTGGGAGGGCAGGACAGCCTCAAATGGCATGCAAGGGACTTAGCTCTTCACTCTCGGTGTTCCCATGGCTCCTTGTGTTTGTTCCTAGCGGGCCACTTATCATACTGCATTATATTTGGTTGTAAATATGTCTGTTCTACTAAATTCTTAACTCCCCAAAGTCAGGGATCATGGTTCATCCATTATGGAACCACAGTGCCCAGCACAGGAACTAGCATAAAACAGTCAACAAAATCTTGGATGAATTGAATTCTAACAAGGTTACTTCTTTATTCGTATGTAATAAGGAGACATCATGAATTTCACTACCTAATGTACTTCAAGGACATTAATCTGGGAATATGTGCCAGGCACTGTGCTAGGTGCCATAACTGTTTTAATGGCTCTGACCTAAAACCCTGTGAGATATTCTCCACATTCATTTACACATGATGCTCAGAAAGGTCAAGTAAACTACCTATCAGCAGACAGTAATTACAGAGGCCAGGGCAGGCTGAAGGCAGTGTGAAGGCTGGGGTCAAACAGAGAAAAGTAAGAAGATCCGGCCAGTGAGAGGCTGTGGGAACCTAGACCACTCAGAGAACAGAGTGAGGGAAAGCTGGGCAGGCAGTGCTGCAACTGAGAGCCCATAAGTTCCTTAGCTGTGCCTCAAGCACATCTAGTATCTCTGCTGGCCACCTAGGGACAAACGGCATCAAAATGGACTCGCCCTTTATACTTAGAATAGCTCCAACCTACAAGATGAAGGACTTGTAGAAAGAAGCTTCCATCAGGCTGTGAACAGTTACCCTCCCTTCTCCTATCCACCGAAAGTCAATGTTGATAAAGCTGGCCCTGATCACAAATGTAAACCAATTCCCCGGCCCAATCAAAACAGAACAGGGTGTCAGAAGTGGTTTCTAGACCCATCTTGAGAACTGACTAGGCAATCCCTGTCAACTTCCTCACCTTCCCATATCTGTAAATGTACTGGGCTGGACAAGGTGACTTTTAAGACCCTCCAGTCTAGGTCTGTGACTGTACATTCTCATGGGCTTCATGTTCCTCCTTAACATTTCTATGGCCATCATAATTAATTCCATGCGTTAGTAGTTAATATCTGTTTTCTCTACTAGACTATGGGCCCTCTGGGCCAGGGCCTATCTGTCTTGTTCCCAGTAAGATTCCCAGCATCTTTCAAGAGTGTGAGCGTGAAGTAGCATTCCATGTCTGTCAACAGCAGATGGCTGGTTTCTGGCCTGGTTTTACCTAGAGGCCACTTTTTCTCTCCATGGTTCAGGAGATCCATTAATGTCACATTTACCTACCCCTCCACCTCTCTAGAAAAACCTCTTGGGTTTTCTATGAAACAGGGGGAGGTCAGCAGTGGAAGTTCTGAAACCATTCATATGTTTGTGTACTCCACACACTATTTGTACAGTATTCAGAATACTCCCTTGCTCAGTTGAAACATTTTCACTGGCCCTCTGCCCTTGGGGCAGGGAAATTAAGGCCTCCATAGGGGACAACTAAATTCCCCAGTGAGGCCTAGCACCAGCAACAGTCCTCTATCCTGCTCCCTAACCCCAGTCCCACATCTCAGTTCAAGATGCCAGGCCTTCCTAATATATTGAGGAAGGATGAGTGATGGGGCTTCGTGAGGCAGGAGGATGACCAGAATGAATTCTACCAGGGCCTTCTGTCCAGAAGCTCCCAAATCTTCTCTTTGGGACCAATGACTCCATCTGGCCTGTGCCCAGCATTCTGAAGCACCTCCCTCAACCAGTAGCCACCACCTAACACTGTCATATGGTGTATCCATGGAAAGAGGAGACCTACTTTCTTAAAGATGTTTATTCCCAGAAAATGAAAAAAAAAAAAAAAAAGAAGAAGAAGAAGAAGAAGTTCCTATGCTTTTTGTTCACTTCTAGGACAATGGGCAATATCAAATCCCCCCAAAAGCTGACCACCAAAACCTAAGAATAACTTCATCAGTGGCTGCCCTGTTTCCTCTTCCCTGTCCATTTAACCAAGCCCCCTCTCTGTGCCCACAGTTCAGTGCTGGGCAGCCCCTGGATGTTTCCTGCCTGGCAACATTTAATGGCTTCTTCTCTACCTTTCAGGTGATATCATCCTTGGGGTGACCTCTCTGCTTTAATTTTACTGACCCTTCCTGAGCAGGCTGATCAAAATGGGCCCTGGGAAATGCACATGCAAAACCCAGTGATGTGATTATGAGTTCCTGTACAGGCATTCCGGCACTTTTTTAGCCCCTGCTGAGCCAGCCAGAAGAGTCAAGGAGGACTCTGCTTTCATGGGTATTGTCAAGCAAAGTTTCCCTTGTATAAGTCTGCAGAAAGTAGGGCATGGATCTGTGCTTCATCATCAGTGTCCCGCGAGATGCCTGCCCAAGACAACCGGCTGGTTATCAAGTAAATGCAGTTGGCATTGTGTGTGCTTTGGGGTTGGCTGTTCTTACTTCAACTTGGTAGTCTGAAAATGGGATCAGATGGTCCCTCTGGAGAAGTTTGCTGAAAGAAACATGACTTAATTTAGGGATATGCTGAAGTTATTAACTTCTAAGACATCAGCAGATCCACCTGATGACATCAGCACTATCACCAGACCTTTCCGGGTGGGGGAAACAGATGGTTTGCTCACACGCACAAGGCCACCACCTTAAGGTGATGCTGCTGGTGTCAGAGAGAGGTGGAGAGCGGATGAATATGGTGGCCAGTTACCTGAATCAGCAATGGAAAAGCAGACCTATGACCTTGGAATATAATCTGCTTCTTTTTTAAAAAGAAGTTTCTGTGTAAATCTACTGCTTTTTAAGTGTTCCATAGAATGTCAGAGACCTTAAAAGATCATTTAACACAGCAGTGTTCCACCAATCTAATTGATGACCCACTGTAGCAAAACATGTTTGGAAATATCCTCTTTACCAACTGAAATTAAGTTCCTAGATAAGTTAGTTGATCCATGTGCATTATTTAGCCCCAACTAGGAATGTGATTTATAATAATATATATGTCAGTATGTAAGTGCTCACGCATGACTGCATTGGAACACACCATGAAGTAGTCAGTGCACACATCTGCTTACCATGGATACGTTTAAACCTAACAGAAGACAAGTAGAAGCGACTCCACAGAAAAAGGACAAGGAAATAAAAGAGGTGAGTGATGAAAGAAGGCAACAGAATTTTTTTAAATGAAAGAATAAAAAACAGCAAGGCTATTTTCCTGTCTATATTAACAGGAAGAAGAAAATAACCTTAACTGAGATACAGAGAACAAGGCGAATCAAATTACAAATGTATAGTTAGACAATAAAAGTTGCATATTACTTCTAAACTAATGAGCTAAGTCTTATATATAAATGTAATTTATTATGATGTGGTATGGGATAGGCCAATGACAAAGTATCATGGCAAATATGTCCCCAATCTGGAAATTCCATCCACATTGTTGAGCATAATTCAGTCTTTACCATTAGGGAAAAAAATTTAAAGCCCTTGGAAATAATATCCTTTTAGTATAGGCAGTGCAGAAAGGAGGATGAATTTTGAAAAATTGTTTGGTACATCTCTAAGTGAGATATTAAAGACCAAAACATGGTCTTTAATTGTAAATAACTGTAATGTTCAATTTTTGCAAGAGATTTCTTATTTTATTGCAAATTTAATCATACATATAATATGAGAATAAACTATTTTATAACAAAGTTCATTGAAATGGTGACATTTTATTTACTTCTGCTAAGTTAATCATATTCGGTCCCATGTCTGTTAGACAAAGTCTCCAAGCTACAAATCTGCCAGTGGTCTCCTGCTCTCACAGTCACTACACACCACACTGGAGCCCTCTTCAGGTCAATGTCTGTCTGGAATGCTTCACCTAAACAGAATGCATGAAGTAGGGGAGCTATCTCAACATTTCAACATCTCAAGACTTTGTCTCTACTCCTTTTAAACTTCTCTTTCCTAAATTACTGAGCTTCTGGTTTAACTCTGAAAATTTGCAAATCCCCTCTAGGGGGCAGTAATGACCTCATTGAGAATATTGATCAAGGCCAACCTCATTCCTTTGCCTGGCCCAAGAGGGTGTGTCAGCTGTATCTTTTGCTCCCTTTCCTGTCACTAGTTTCCTAAGTCAAGAAAGGTATGGGGGATATTATCACCATGCAGCTGTCAGCACAGGGAAGCACATGTAGCTGTGGACCTAGAAATGCCTAGAAACATCTGAATTCCATAAGGACTCCCAATTCTCCCTTTTAACTGTAAACAACTAGTTCCTAATTACTCATCCATCAGAGACACAAGCAATAGGGCTCCAGAAATCACTAGGGACTGAGTTTCAATGTCTTTGTTTTGTACAATGTCACTACTAACACCATTTGCCCTAAGACCAATAGGTAGCATTTGAATGAGAAGTGACAGGTTCCCTCCGGACCTCCTCTGCCTGTTGGCTGCTGTGGTTTGCACCACACTCAGTTGAAGAATAAACAAAAAGCAAAACCCCAGTCAGTCTAAGATAACAACAGAGGTGACATATGTTTTACATGCAACTTGAGAGAGACGAAGAAAAAGCAGAAACAATGGAAAGCATGATGAAAGAATCCCTGACTGACAAATCCTTTTGCTAAGCTGCAATTTTTTCAGTGGAATATGGTGACCTGTGAATGGTGCTCTCCTGGTCCCACCCCACCCCAGTTGGCTGAGTTTAGAATTTCTTCACTGGGGAAGAGGGTGAATGTCCTACAATGAGGCCACCAGTTGACAGGCTGAATGAATATCCAGGAATGAGAAAAGCTGAGAGCAGAAGGGAAAGGCAGTTTCCTTCAGCCCACTTTTCAACCCTGACTGGGCCAGTCTCCAAAGAGCTCACAGCCTCCAGAGCTGCAGTCATTATCATGTTGTCACAGTCACCGTGGGCTGTGGGCAGAATGATGGCTCAATACCTTAGCTTACAACCTCCACTTCCGGGCCCTCACTTCCTTCCTTCATCAAGCAAAGTAAAATGATGAAGACCCAAGACAGCTGGAAACCCCCACCTTGTTACTCCATGTAAATTTATGTCTTTTTTTGCACTCAGGACCCAGCCTGCCATGTCTACCTCACTCCAATACTACACTTACCTGGTGGAAGCTTTCTGTTGTCCCATCCTAACCTGGCTCCAAGCACCAGGGTATGGCTTATTCATCTTATCTCTCAAACCCAACATTGTGCCTTCAGAGGTTGTTCAATAAGTGTTTGGGGTCTGAAGAGCAAAAAGTGGTGGTAGAGATAATCCAATTGAGAAAATGTGAAAGGCCATGAAGGGTGAGCTGTCACCCTTGACAGAACAAAAATGCTTTCTCTGGGTCATGTGGCTATGTCACCTGTTTTCAGAGATGCTTTAACCTTAGTCATGCCCATTATCACCACAACATTAATGATGACATACTTAGAAGGTGTGAAAGGTAACTATAAACCACACCTATTTTTTTATAAAGGCAATATGATATATTGGCTTAAACACCAAGTTTTAGCCAGAACTGCATGCATTTCAATCCTAGTTTTACCATGTATGAGTTAAGGGTAGTGGTGAAAATTTTTCACTCTGCTGATGCTTCCTTATCTGTAAAATGAGGATAGTAATACCACCTCCTCATGGGTTTCAGGTGAGATCATATGTGTAATACAACAATGCTTTTCATGGTCTCGTTCATTGTTTATTGCTGATCTCAAGCACCTGCTCAGTGCTAAAGCAACCAGAGAACTGAGTTCCTACCCTTCT